AGTTATGTTAAACAAAAACAATGACCCCTTATATGTATCTATAGGACTCATTTATCCTTTTGGCATCCTTAATATATTATTACTTAAGTTTACCTAAGACTGTTCAGAAACTTCTATCACATAACGGAACAAAGTCACCTTTATAAAATTGGGAATATTAATTATTAAATTAGAACACTAAAGGAGATAAAATTTAATAGAGCAACTATATATTCAGATTTTGGTTCCTCATTAAAATAAAAAAAATCTCAAATATCAATATTAAAAGGAGTTACAGATTTTTAATAGAATATTTCAGTATCTCAAACATAGGAGGAAGAAGGGAATATGAAAACTACTACAGCTACACAATCTAACACAAGTATTGGTTTCAAAGTCATTGTATGTATACAGTACTTTAAAAAAATAAAGAGGTTTCAAAACTATGCATTGAAAAACTTGTACTACAGCCCTGGCTGGTGTGGCTCAGTTGGTTGAGTGTCCTCCCATGCACCAAAAAGTCGCCAGTTCAATTCTCAATTCTGGTAGGGGCTTCGGGTCCAATCCTGGTGGGGGTGCATACAGGAGGCAACCAGTCAATGTTTCACTCTCACATCAATGTTTCTCTCTCCTTCCCTCTCTCTCTCTCATCCTCTCCATTCCTCTCTCTAAAAATCAATAAAGAAAAAGGAAAATGTTTCAAAAAAATTTTAAAACTTGTACTACAGAACAGTATGCTTTTTAAGTGTTTTTGTGCAAACTTTACACATGAACAAAATTTGAATGTTCATTCCCAAAACACTATACTGTAATTATTTTCTTCCATTTGTATTGCACATCAGAGTGGAAATTTCAAATAACAGATGTACTGTTGTTTTTTTATTCAGGCATCCAATATATAGTAGGTGCTCAGCAGTGGTTAATAACTATCATGAGATAGCATTTATTTCATTTTCACAACCACCCTTTGAGGTAGAGCATTTGGATCCATTTTACAGCTAAGGAGAATGAGGCCTAGGAAAGTTAAGTAACTTGACCAAAATAACACATCTAGTCAAGTAAAAAGCCTATACTCAAAACCAGCACTATGTTCAAACTCCATGTTCTTCACCACTATGATATACTGTTTATTGAAAAATTAATATAAGTACTGTATAGCAACTGATCTCATTGAGACCTATAACAAGAATAAATATGCTAGCTTACCATGCCACAGAATAATTAAGGTCTTTCTATCCTATCAAGCCTTTCCCATCATCTACTATAGGTCCCAAGTTAAAAAAACAAAACAAAAAAACCTCAGAAGTTAGTGAAAACACATTGTTCAACATTGCAGAGAAAGATCCAGAGACAACATACCAGATTATTCCAAACAGTGATTCATCAACTTTTTTATTTTTATTGTATTCTATTTTTTTAATTTTATTGATTGATTGATTTGAGAGAGACAGGAAGGGGGAGAGAGGCAGACATCAATTTGTTGTTCCACTTATTCACGCATTCATTGGATGATTCTTGCATGTGCCCTGACCAGGGATTGAACCCACAGCCTTGGGGTATCGGGACAATGCTCTTAACAACTGAGCTACCCGGCCAGGGCCTTCATCAACTTTTCTGGAAGAAAAACAATTTTGAGAGTCGCCTGAGAATCATTCCATTGGGCCTAAAAGATCTCATTTGATTCCTTATTCCTTTTTCAAGGACTATCCAAAGAAATGAAGGTAAATAAAAACTGCACATCTTCATATAACATGGGTAGTTGTTACAGAACAAAATGAAAGCTGGAGTGAATCCCTTTTCTAAAATGTCACACGTGTAAAAAGTAATGCAAATTTATGTTCACGAGAACTTACAACAAAATCTTTTCATGGGCCAAAGTTTTTACTTTTAAGAAATTAATCTGCCAGGCCGGGCATGGCTCAGCGTTTGAGCGTCGACCTAGGATCCAGGAGATCAGGGTTCGATGCCCGGTCAGGGCACATGGCCGGGTTGTGGGCTTGATCAATGACTCTCTCATCATTGATGTTTCTGTCTCTCTCTCTCCCTCTCCTTTCCTCTCTCTGAAATCAATAAAGATATATTAAAAAAAAAAAAAAAGAAATTAATCTTACACAGAAATGGCTTCCCTGCCTTAACCATAATATACGAACATAAACTTTTCTTGATCAAAGAGCAATAATTCATAAGATGGGTTCTCATCCCAGAACTGCTACTTACGAATTGCAAGTTCAATTTCACTGACTATAAAATACATGTTAACAGTCTACATCTACCTCACAGGATTGTTATTAGGAGAATGCATGTGTAAGTGCTTTATAAACAGCAAAACATTATTAAATAGAAAGCACTGAAACTTAAATTGCTGTTTTAGATATTATACTACACAAAAGGCTCATCACCCCTTTTATACTTTATTATTTCATCTTGTACAAAAAGCAAAAAATTAAATTTGTTAAAACCCTATCTAAAATGAGATATATTGTTCCATGTGTCCTTAAGTTTTAAGCAAAGACCAGGCCTTCTATCATTTTGACTGCATCAAAGTCTTTTCGGCTTGCTTCTGAATTTTCTGATATGTTCTGAATAGTTCGGCTGGCAGGAGTAACTGCCAAGTAAAAAAATATATTACTAGAGTAAGCTTCTAAGGTACGTTTAAAGCATATTTTAAATCAAGTAAAAACTTCAGAAAAAAATCTTTGAGAAGAAAGGACTATATTACTGATACTGTTTTAATCTGTTGAGTACATGATACATATTTCCACTTCTAAAATGTGAGGTATGATTTTTATTTTTTACTTCAAAGAAAATAAAAGCAAATTTAAAAATATATATTCCCAATGAGATTTACTAATGAAATCCTGAAACATCATAAAAGCCGAGTTTGTAATGACCTAGAACGTGGAAGTCAAATCTAAATTGAGAGATGAAAAACCATTAATTCAGCTTGGTTGTCTCAGCTTCTGGATCAAAAGCTTTGCTTGCACATGGAGGAAATGTATTTCTGATCAACATCCCCAGAACAAAACAAGTAGTGGTACTTACCTTCACTTACAAATAAGTATATTAGAGGTTTGGATTTATGAGTCCAAAGTTGCTACATAGATAGAAGACAAGGATCAATCCCAAGTACTTTTTACCTATTTCCTGGCTTTACAGGAGGGAGGGAGGGAGGAAGGCCAGCTATGGACAGGGTGGCTCAGTTGGTTGGAGTGTCTTACCACAGAAAACGGTCTCAGGTTCAATTCCCCATCAGGGCACATATCCAGGTAGCAGGTCTGAACCTCTGATCTGGGTGTGCACAGGAGGCAACTGATGGATCAATGTTTCTCTCTCAATATCAATCTTTTTCTTTCTCTCTCTCTCTCTCTCTCTAATATTAAAAAAAAGAGAGAGAGAGAAAGAAAGCATCTACTTAAATGGTTGTTTGGGGGATTAAATGATAAAAGATAGAGATCACCTAACCCAATTATTACTGTTCTACAGACAAACAGAGACTCCAGTCAGTCTTCAAAGCTTCAAACTTTAAAATCTCTGCTTAAAAAGTAACTAATTTGCCAGCACCAGAGTTTACCAGGAAGTAGCATGGCTGTAATTAATATCTGTTTAATTTATAACAGACTGACAGAATACAAATCATTTTAATAAACACAAAAATCTATAATAAACTATAAATAAGTTAATGAACAATGAACTAAAGAAGTCTGGGATATTAGTTAGTTTAAATTCTCCTTAATTAAAGGAAATACATCATTAATTTTTAAAAATCACACATGAAAATCGTTTGGATTCGCACTGTCCTACATAGCTGGCAAACACTCCCTTAAAACTTCAAAATTTTTGTCTAACAATTTTTTTCCAAAACATTGGTCTTTTTAATGTGCTCAAAAACTCTTCTAGGCAATAAGAAGTGAAACTAACACTGGCGAAAGCTTGAGTGTCAGGAAGTGTTCTGGGCCCCAGGGCACTGTTCATGTTTTATTCATCTTTGTATAGGTGGCTACTTTAGCAAAGAATCTAAGATACTGTTAAGTCAGTAACACTGTTGAATAAATCAGTCAACAAAACAGGGCAGATGATTTGGCTACTTCAAGTGATGGTCTTAACATTACTGCTCAGATCTGAAACAAATCCCGAATATCCCAGCCTTTAAAATTACTTTGTGTTTGCAAGAAAAAAGGAGGCTCCTTTTTGTAAATAGTTCCTGAAACTCCAAGTTAGAAACAAATTAGTGTTCATAATAAATTTCACGCACGCTAAATCGTCACTTACTAGAAGTTACTAGAACACAGCTAGATTAGGAATTTGTCCTCCCGCTTTCTGTCGATCTCTGAATACAGAGGCTCAAGAAAAAGAAAGACTCACAAGACTCTGATCATTCTAACACCGGATGTTGTTAATTTCGCTAGGACTAAAAAAATTCCTTAATATCGATCCAAATAAAACAATGTGTGTAGTGCTGCCTAAGAACCCAATCTAGTAATACATGGCCTGGTTATTACTCTGGAACCGAGTACTCTCGCCAATCCGAGGATTTGAGAAGGTAAAACGCAGGGTGAGGCATCAATGGGAATAAACCGCCGGGGGAGGGGAGGAAAAGGAAAAGATCAGAGGGGATTAATTCCAGCGTTATTTGTGGAAGGAGGAGAGGGATGCTAGGGCCCGTCGGCGAGGACCCCTTACAAGCGGGTGGAAAAGGCCCATTTGGCACTTAGAACGGACCAGGGGGTGGGGGGAGGGGCGGCCAGCAACAGGAACCCCCCGGGCGTGGAATGGGATCGTCACTTACGTGGCCGCTTCTGGACACAGAAAATATGCCCTCAGGACTACTTTCACAAGCAATTGTGAAGAAGGGGGAGTGACCTTCCTCGGCGTGGGAAGGAAATACACGGGGTCACTTCTCAAAGGGCTGAGGGAGATGTTCCCGTCGGTCCTCCCCGGTTGTCCAGGGATAGGAGGTATTGTGAAGACCCCAGGGCGGCGTCGGGGCTGTGAACCGCCGAGGGCTGAGGTGTGGGCGTTACCTGCAGGGTCACCTCCTGAGGGTCCCAGTGCGGCCGCAGGTGTTGCAGAAGGCTCAGGGCCCCTTCCCGGCAGCGCTGCTCCTCCTGATCCTGAACCGTGACGTCCAGCTTGGGCACCTCCGGGGAGCCGGACGGGACGTGGATGTAATTGGCCATGGCCCAGGCGACCGCAGAGACTACCACAACGACGACCGCGACGGCGACCACGAGAACGGCGGGCGCCGACAGACTGGTGGATCCTTCCGTCCCGGGGCGCCCTCGCGGGAGGGCTAGGGGCGCTCAAGCTGACGGGTGGGCAGTAGGAGAACGGCTGGAGGCAGCAGTCCGGCCGACCCGAGTCTGGACAGCAACTGAACTGAGCCCAGGCTGCTCTCGGGAAAAATTCCTTTCCTCTGCGTTCGACCGCCGGTGGCCGCGGAGCATGCCGGGACTGGCCTGACGCTGGCGTCACGCGCGGGGCGGGGCCTGCGCCCGCGTGAGGCGCCGAGGCCGACTCTCTAGCCGCCCGCACAATGGGCTCGCTGACGCGCGCTCGGATCGGCGGCTG